CAGAGGATGGCAGTGGCAAACCCCCTCTGAAGAAACATGCCAAGAAAATCCCATGATAGGTCCATTTTCACCATAAGTCAGAAATGACTTGAAGGCAGCACAACAACAACAGCAGAAGATCCAAATCTTGTTAAGCTTCACTGCAGGAAATGACTTTGTGACCTGAGCCCAATATTACTTGCTGTCTCTCTCTGTGCGCACCTGTGTGTGTGTATGTGTGTGTGTCTGCACATCTTTGCAAATGTGATTTGGGTTTTCAAAACTCCTTGGGCTCACGTCTCAAGCCATCCGCTCTTTGTCCCTCTATCCCAAGTTTTTCTCTGTTTCTCTCACCCCTACTTGCTTTCCCTGAAAATAGAAGCTGTGTCTATTTTTGAACCGGAAATGTGGAGGGAGCCAAGAGGGAAGTGGCGAGGTAGAGAATTTGGCTAAGGTCAGTGGGGGTAAGAAAGAAACAGAGCTGCTTTTACACCTGTCGCGGTCAGTCGAGGAGGTCTGGATGAACGAAAAGATGAAGTGCATGTCATTCTCTTTGAGCTGCCCTGCTGGAGTGGGGAATAGCCTGGAAATAATATTGATGGCTGGAAAGTAGATTGTAGAGCTGAACTATTAGGACTGAATGCAACAATTGATGAAGTGAGCTGGAGAATGGACGGCACAAACTCCCTCCCCTTCATGTGGAGAGAGATGGATAGTAAAGGGCAACACCGACAACAATAACAGTAGTATTTCTTACCCACCCCATGGATCGAGACAGGAGACAACAATAGTTAACAAACAAACAGCATCAGTTAAAACACACACCAATTTAAAAGGACAAATAAGATGTGTCCACATTAAAACAACCCACACCTAAAATTCATCATTTAAAATTCACAATTTATAAATCAGCCGGATAGGCCTGACGGAAGAGACTGGTCTTCAATGCTCTTTAAAATTCAGAAAGTATATTAAGTTGACTAATGACTCCAGCAGGTCATTCCACAGTCTAGGGGCAACAGCAGCAACAACAACAACAGTAACAACAACAACAACCATTACCACAACAACAACAACAACAATGTTTATGTATAATGCCCTTTCCACCAAAGGGCAGTACATCAGAATATATACAATAAAAAAAGAATGATAAAACACCACACTATAAAATACTAAAATAATATGCTAATGTGCTAAAAATAAAGACAAACAAAATCCTCCTCATGGGGATCTGACAACTTCCTATTCCTTCCTCTGGCAACCAGGGTGGTGTAGTGGTTTGAGCATTAGACTAGGAGTCTGAAGACCTGGGTTCGAGTCCTGACTCAGCCATGGAAACCCACTGGGTGACCTTGGGGCAAGTCATACTCTCCCAGCCTCAAAGGATGGCAATGGCAACCCCCACCCCCCGAAGAAACTTGCCAAGAAAACCCCATGATAGTTTCACCTTAGGGTTGCCATAAGTCAGAAACAACTTGAAGGCACACAACAATAATTCCTTTCTCTCCTTGGTATAAGATAGTTCACTGTAGAAAGGAAAGAGCCCATCCTCTTGCATTTGTCAGTAGGAGATGAACCTGGGCTTCTCCTCCTCTCTTTATCTTTGAGCCACAAATGTAAATGTAAATGAGGTCTGTACTGCAGAAATAATGCAGTTTGACACTACTTTACTAGCTGGCTCAGTGCTATGGAATCCTGGGATTTGTAGTTTGTTGTGGCTCCAGAGATCTCTGACAGAGAAGGCTAAATATCTCACAAAAGTACAAATCCCAGAATTCCATATCATTGAGCCATGGCATTTAAAGTGGTGTCAAATTGCATTATTTTTGCAGTGCAGATTAGACTCATGTGGGGCTTTGGGAGGGGGAAATAGTTTAGAGGGGGAAATTTTGTCAGTATGGTTTAGTGGATATAAGCGTCAGACTTGTCCCAAGGAAACCTGGGTTCCAAATTCTACTCTGCCATTGGAGAGTCCTATCTATCAGCCTAACTGTGAGAGGAAAAGGAGAAACTTAATGTCAGCCCCCAGCCCCATCCCTCTGGAAGGACAGAGGTAAGAATTAATGAATTAAAATCAAGTTATGAATCTAGTTGGAAATTTGTAACTTTATTACATTTATTTTTATTCTGAAGTCATTGGCTTAACCTGGAATTTCAGCATCGACATTTCTCTAGAATTAAGCTATTGATGACGTTATTAATGAAATGAGCCATGATACTAAAAAGCCAACTGATTTTATGCTATCCAGTTGTTTTTTTAATGAAAAGCTTGATTCTCTTGTATTTTTTGTCAAATAACCTCTTGCTTTCTTCGTCCTTCGGAGGAGGAATAATAAGGTCTAGGTCACCAGGAATAAGAGCAGATTGGAAAGTGAGGAGATCCTGTGCCTCCTTTGTTCTTCTGTATTTCACACCATCACCACATAGAGATAACTCATCTGTCCTAGAAAACTGAATTTGGAAACACAAAGCCCTAGGACTTTTGCTGAGATCTACCTGGAAATTAGTAAGCTAAAAAAAAGTGGGAAAGCAGATGAGATTCTAAGGAAGGAAGGGGAAGCAAGAGAAGGGTTTCCACTCCACTCATGCACAAATACACACACCTTCTCTGTTCAGAAACACAATTGCATGTATTTATCTTTTAGTTTAGTTACCTTTTAGTTATTAGTTATATTTACATATGCATCCTTTCCTCCAGGGAGTTCAAGATGGCATACATGACTCTCCATCATCCTATCTTGTTCTTACAACTGGTGAGGCAAATAAAATTGAGAGTGATTGGCATTAGGCCATTCCTGTGAGCATATGAGAATTAAAAGTTGGATCTCTGAAGTCCAAGATGAAAAATCACTACACTCTCCCCTCCACAAAAAGTCATACACACACATAGGAGAATAAGCCTCTTTTGTGACCCACTTCACTGAGGATGCGGTGGCTCAAGTGATTAAGACGCTGACTTTGTTGACTGCAAGGTCGGCAGGTTGGCAGTTCGAGGCCCGGGTGCTGCATGATGTGGTGAGCTCCTGTCACTAGTCCCAGCTTCTGCCAACCTAGCAGTTTGAAAGCATGCAAATGCAAGTAGATAAATAGGTACCACTTTGGTGGGAAGGTAAATAGTGTTCTGTGCAATCATGCTGGCCACATGATCACAGAGTAGTCTCTGACAACGCTGGCTCTTCGGCTTAGTAACAGAGATGAGCACCGTCCCCTACGGCCGGACACAACTTGACAACCTTGTCAATGGGGAATATCTTTACCTTACCTTTATACTGAGCATTACAGTAATTTTCCCAAAATGCAGTGGGGGAGGTAATCCTTACATACAGGAGAAGCCTTCTGCTTAGGGAGAAAAATGGGTTTATTTTTATTCCTATCTACTTACCTTGTTATTATGTACCTTCAGGTTGACCCTGACTTATGTGAGTCTTGTCACAAGGTTTCCTTGGCAAGTTTTGTTCAGAGGAGATTTGCCATTGTCTTATTCTCTTAGACTGAGAAAATGACTTGCCTGAGGTCATCCAATGGGTTTTCATGACTGAATCCAGCACTCAAACCATAGCACCATGGTGGTTCTCTTTCCTACCTACTTACTTCAAATTTGCCTGGCATTCATTTAAATCCAAAAACTTCAGTTACCTGACTGTATGATATTATTGAAATAATTTTGGAAAACAGCAATATGAAGGACCCAGAGAGGTCTACTTTCCCCCTCTCAAGATAATCCATGTTGGCTCAGAAGTAAATCCTATGTTCAGCGAGGCTTACTTTCCTCTGTTCAGTATCTTGGAAGTGTGTCCCAGTCAACATGGCTTAATTTTCTATTGATAAGTTGATTGCAAAGCCCTATTTTTACTTTATTTAAACATTATTATCAATAATAGAAAGCTAGACATTATGGGTGGGATTTCCGTTGAGGTGGTATTTCAGATGTTACACTAGAGAGAGATCAGTTTTCAGGTTACATTCTCAGAGATCCATCTATTGTTTTATCTAATCCAATGAAATTAAGTTTAACACTGGATGAGCACACATTCCAGATTTTTTTAAAAAAACTCTGAAGAGATAGCTAAAGAAACAGCCTGGTTGACTGAATTTACAGCAAACTGGAATGTGCTTTTTATACCCATTTTCCCTCCTATTCACTTATGGATAGTTCTTATACAGTACTCTAAAGCTTCCTCTCTTCACTAACCAAAAACTTCTCTTCTTCTCACCATAAGTGTCTTCGCTCATTATTCTTAGTCACTTCTATTACCGCTTGTTAAATAGTTCACAGTCGTACATTGCATGCCCTTATAACTCTTCAGGTCAGGTCCTTAATTCTGTTTTACAGGTTGGGGAAAGTATAGCAGACAGGAAAAATGTCACCGAGTGCTAACCTGACGGTGCTGTGGAACCAGAGACAATGGCTGCGACGGAGACTCCTGTTTTACAGTAGCATATTGACAATTTTAAAAGTTACTCTTGGGGAGTGCAACTTCCACAGCTGATGAAACGAGCAACCGTTTAGTTGGGAGAAATACTTTGCCTTGTTGATGGTGGGAGCTGTCTTACATTTCCTTTCTCCTGCTTGCAAAAAAACACTCAAAGAAGCTAATCTGTCATTGAACTCCTCTTTTACTCACACCTCCACTGCCATTGTCTCTGAGACACCTTGGCTGAGATTTGTGAAATCTACCTTGAGTGACCAGGATGGAAAGAGTGAATAGATGGGATACCTGGTGATGTTTCCTTCCTTCCATCTGTCCTGACCTTCTCATGTCTTGTGAGTAGGAAATGTATTGACTCTGAGGAAAACTGGTGATGTGATATCCTTCTTTTTCTCTCTCCCTCACCCCACCCCTCTATTTGCACTACCAACTAGGAGGATGTTCCCGTTTCTGAGCTTCAACATCTCTGGGCTGGACCCTGTGGCCCATTACAGCATCTATGTGGACATTGTATTAGTCGACCAGCACCACTGGCGGTACCAAGGCGGGAAATGGGTTCAGTGTGGAAAAGCAGAGGGAAATATGCCAGGTATGATGGAGAAATTTCTACTCCCTCTTCCTATAAACCACTTTCCACTTGTTCGTCCTCTCCTTTTCACTGTCCTCCCTGTGTTAACCCATACCATGGCAGATTACTTTCCCTGCCCCTGTTGCATTAAAATTGTAATCTTTTTTTTCTTTTCCCAGTTAGCTAAACTGGACCAGAAGCTAAGACTTTGACTTTGGTAGGACTTTCCTATAGACCATGGGCACACAACTTTGCCCCCCCCCCTTTATT